GGATGCATCAATTTATCATCACAGCCCTAACTGAAATGTATTTACAACAAAAATAATAATAAGTCCCTTGTTTTCTTAAAAAAAAAAAAGCAAAAATTAAGGGTATAGGAAGTCATTGGCCGGGTTTCCATCCAAAGTTGCGAATTTAACTTGTGTGCAAAATTGCAATGTCTCATAAAACATTTGCAAATAAGCACAGTTTCCATCCAACAAATCGTCACTTCCTGATAAACTGGATATTATGTGCCACCGCTGCTATCCGCCATCTTGTCCGACAGCTCCTAGAAAATCTACGGAGCCCCACACATGACATGCAAAAAAAATAAATAAATTGTGCGCACGATTTACTAATTTGTTCCCTCGATGTACTAAATCATGCACACGATTACTATTTTGTTCCCTCGATTTGCTAAATCGTGCGCACAATTTACTAATTCGTTCCCTCGATGTACTAAATCATGCACACGATTACTATTCTGTTCCCTCGATTTGCTAAATCATGCACACGATTTACTAATTCGTTCCCTCGATGTACTAAATCATGCACACGATTACTATTTTGTTCCCTCGATTTGCTAAATCATGCACACGATTTACTAATTTGTTCCCTCGATGTACTAAATCATGCACACGATTACTATTTTGTTCCCTCGATTTGCTAAATCGTGCGCACAATTTACTAATTCGTTCTCTCGATTTAGAAATCATGTACACGATATAGCAAATCAAGGGAATGAATTAGTAAATCGTGCGCACAATTTATAAATCGAGGGAACGAATTAGTTTAGCCTACAATTTTTTTCCTGCATGCCATGTGCGGGGCTCCGTAGAAATCCATGTTAAAACAGGGTAAAAAAGATTGATTGAATTGAAACTTTTCAATAGAACTAAATATAAAAATGTGCGCAGGGTTAAGCTGTGCTGTTGTTGGCTGCCACAGTAACGGCAATAAGCTGAGGAATTTCTTTAAAGTACTTGTTTTGCGTACCAGAAAATCTGTCATGTCCGACGCTGTATGCTTGGCTTGCAGCACTTAAGTTAAAATACTGAGTGTTAAATAATAAAATAATATGTTCAAACGTGTGCTCTTATCATTCTGTGGACAAAATTCTGTGAACTTCGCACCAATCGGGAGCTTTATATGCATATGTGCGCTCATCTGTCTTCAATGCAGCTAACCTCGGGTCGCTTCATGTCATCTTCCCACTCATTAAACTATGACAGATCCCTGCAAAAAGACGGTCATTGCAACACTGTAAAGTGATGAAACTAGGACGCCATATGCTATGTGCTGGACGTTGCTATCAAACCATTTTCATAGGTTTCACGTTATATTGTCGGCTCGGAAAATATGTAAATGTGACTAGAAACACCAGAGACCGGAAATGTAAAGCACCGTACCAGTCGGGCGAGACTTCCGTGTTCAGAAAAAGGTGGTTAGATTGTGTTTTATTAAAGGGGTTACATGATGCGATTTAAATTTTTCCTTTCTCTTTGGAGTGTTACAAGCTCTTGGTGCATAGTGGACGAAGCAGAGTCCAGCCCGGGGTCGTCACATGTGGTTGCCGCAAGCCGGCCGGACGCTCCTTCGTCGAATCCGCCGGCCGTGCCATTCTCAAGTCCGCCGGCCTCCGCTCACTCTAGGCATCACAATATGGTAAGGGGCGTAACATTTCCATCACATGCTTGAGGTATTCGGCCAATCACAACACACTGCATAGCTGGCCAATCACAGCACACCTCGCTTTTTCAGACTGATGAGCTTTGTAAAAATCGATGCGTTTCAGAAAGGCGGGGCATAGAGGAGAAACAATAATGTACAGTATGTGGAAAATAATGTGTTTTTTGAACCTTAAACCACATAAACACATTTCATTACACCAAATACACAAAATAATGTTCTTTTTAGCAACATCATATGACCCCTTTAACGTCTACCCCAACCCTAAACAATAATGAAAAAACAGTAATTGTTGTACAGTGTGACAAAAATGACGCTAATATTGATGTGCGCATGCCCAGTAGCTGCAGCTGTATTCCTTCTATCCTTAACCACAAATCAGACAGGACAGTAGATTAACTTCGGTGGACTTAAACTTGAAAAATGGTGGGTTCCGCGGTTGAAATAAAATGCTTTCTGATGTTTATTCATGTTTATTTTGTGCTTTAAGTACATTTGAAAAGACGATCGGTTCACGTGTGTGCTGCTTGAACTGAGGCACTACAGCTATCTGTCACGACATATTAAAGAGCCACAAAACAGTATTTATTGTTTGAATTTCTTAAAAAATGACCAAATTTGAAAGCTGAGAGTCCTGAGACCTTTTTTCATATCAGAAGTAACCTGCTCTGTCTTGTCTGTCGGCACGTTGTCCGTTTTCTCTTTACTCTGCGATGTATTTTTCACTGCGTGAGAACATGATTTGTAGTGCGAGAGCGGCATTGTTTGTCGGGGATAGCAACAGTAAGTAAGGTGGGTCTTTGTGAAAGGTCAATTATACAGAAATACTTTGACGATAGACTTTGCTCAGGCATATAAGAATGGCCATAAACACATTTCAGATGCTGTAGATGCGGCAAATAAGTTTCCATGTCCCATTATTCGCATTAACCCTTTTTCGCACAAGTCTAAAACCACCTCAAGCGAGCATAAAAAAAAATGTTCTCTCTAAATTTGGCATTTCCGTCACTCGTTTCTGATGCGATACTTCAAAATGCTCATTAAAAAAGGGTGTTGGAAACATAGCTATTGAGGTGATTAACTCTTTCCCTGCCATTGACAACATTTTCTGGCTTTCCGTGTTTTCACTGTTTTACGGTAGGAGGCGCTATTACACTTTTTCTGAAAGAGTACTGAATCTCCGGATTGAAACATGGTGAAGAAGAAGCAGAAACAAGTGATCGCATATGTAAGCAGATGCATATGAAAAATAACTTGATCATCAAGCATTAAACAGCATGTAAATAAAAAATGCTGGCGGCGACTGGCAACTTTAAAAAAAAAAATGCTGGTGGAAAAAGGGTTAAACGATGACAGAACTATTCCTTTAATGTCTTGGACTTGGTCTTGATTGTGACGGGGCCAAAATTTCAGCAAAAATGTACAGTCCTGAATGCCTATTGTTTATAGTTTGTTGCTATGCAGTTGCTAGGGTGTTGCTAGGTGGATGCTAAGGTGAGTGTTTTAACATGTTGCTATGCAGTTGTTAGGGTGTTGCTATGTGGTAGCTAACTTGTCTTGAGTGATTTTTAACATGCTGCTATGTAGCTTTTTGAAGCATTCAACAGTAAGTGTTGCTACGCAGTTGCTATTTGGTTGCTAAGTTTTTAATATGATGCTATATAACATTTTGCTATGCAGTTGTAAAAGCATTTTAAGTGTTTTATTGCATATTGCATATTGCTATGCAGTTGCTAGGACGTTGCTATGTGGTTGCTAAAATATTCTGAGTGTTAACATATTGCTATATAGTTGCAAAAGCAGTCTGTTTTTAGAGTGTTGCAATGCAGTTGCTAGGGCATTGCTATGTAGTTGCTAAGGAGTCTTGAGTGTTTTTAACATGTTGCTATGCAGTTGCTAGGGCATTGCTATGTGGTTGCTAAGGTAGCCTGAGTGTTAACATATTGCTATACTGTTGCAAAAGCAGACATGTGTTTTTTGAGTGTTGCTATGCAGTTGCTAGGGCATTGCAGTGTGGTTGCTAAGGAGTCCTGAGTGTCTTTAACATGTTGCTATGCAGTGGCAAAAGCATTCTAGAGTAAGTGTTTTGTCGCATGGTGCTATGCAGATGCTAGGGCATTGCTATGTGGTTGCTAAGGATTCCTGAGTGTTTTTTAACATGTTGCTATGCAGTTGTTAGGGCCTTGCTATGTTGGTTGTTAAGGATTCCTGAGTGTTTTTAACATGTTGCTATGCAGTTGCAAAAGCATTCCAGTAAGTTTTTGTGTGTGTGTGTTGCTAGGGCGTTGTTATCTGGTTGCTAAAGACTTCTGAGTGTGTTTTAGCATGTTGCTATGCAGTTGGTAGAACATTGCTGTGTGGTTGCTAAGGTATTTTGAGTTTTTTAACATATTGCTTTGCAGTTGCTAGGATGTTGCTGTATGGTTACTAAGGATACCTGAATGTTATTTAACATGTTGCTGTGCAGTTATTTTTTTCTTTTTTTGCTAGAGCATTGCTATGTGGTTGCTGAGGAGTGCAGAGTGTTTTTAAACATGTTGCTATGCAGTTGCAAAAGCATTCTATGTGTTTTTATTGTGTTGCAATGCAGTTGCTAGAGCATTATAGTGTTCCAAGTGTTATTTAACATGGTGCTATGTGGTTGCAAAAGCAAGTGTTTTTTGTTGTGTGCGTGTGTGTGTGTGTGTGTGTGTGTGTGTGTGTTGCTATGCCGTTGCTAAGGTGCTCAGAGAGCTTCTTTTTTTTTTTGGCATGTTTCTATGTGGTTGTTAGGGTATTTTGATAAGATGAAACTAAGATGTTCCATGTGTTTTTTTTAAGTTTAGTGAAGTACATCAACCCTTTATATCCCTGTGAGTTTTTCACATGCTGTTTTTGCCATCTTTTTTGTAATAAATCATAACGGATCAGTTGCTGTGTGGCTTCTGAATGCAACGGTTACAAACGTCATGATAAAACATGCAATAATATGGCAGGAATTGAGTGGGTCAGCCGCATTCACACAAACATACAGTCTTCTGCTGGCTTTTGTGCTCAGACTGGTTTACGAGCTGCATTTATGAAAGGATCTGGTCTGAATGGGTGTGTCCAGGTTTCATATCTTCACGTATTACGAGAAAAATTTTTTTTCTGTTTCAATGTGAATGAAAACACTTTGTTTCTCTAGCTGTCTTTTGATTGGGAGATCTTCATTTAAAAGATTTAATTAAATTAATTACACAGTATATTGATTAATTAACCAAAATAACCACATAGGATTCAGTGAGTGCTACTATTGACCGAACAGCAGTCATCAGATTCATCTTTTGTTTTCAAACAGGAGAGAAAGAGATCACGACCAAGATGGACCCGTCTAACGGGCTGAACCGGCCGCTGGAGATTGTCCCGCACACGGAGGTGAAGATGAAGGACAGAGGACAGTGGAGCAACAAGCTGGAGTTTGTCCTGTCGGTGGCCGGAGAGATCATTGGACTGGGAAACGTGTGGCGCTTCCCATATCTCTGCTACAAGAACGGTGGAGGTGAGGAGATGCAGAAGTACCATGATACATACCGTGGTACTGACCATTGTACATGTCCAAAACATGATATTACTATGATACCATGTTCAAAAAGCCATGTTATACCATGGTACATCTCCTAAAAAAACATGGTATTACAATGGTAAATCACAGTTTAACATAATATTACCATGAACATGTCCATAAACCTCAATTACAAAAATGCACCAAAAAGTACCATAGTGCTACCATGGTATTTTGGACATGTACCATGGTATTCTGGAAAATGAATTAGTACATGAACTGGTACCATGGTATATTAAAAGTAACATTGTAATATAATTTGATGCCATTACTGTCCCATGATACTTGGCCCAAGAAAACATGGTATAACTGGAACATGTGCAAAATGTGATTTACCATGTTACATATCAGAAAACTAAGTATTATCATGGTACATGAGATTACCATGATGCATGTGCAAAATATGGTATTACCATGCTACATGTCTAAAAAAAAACAAGGTTTTATCATGATACATGTCCAAAAATGTGGTATGACCATGGTGCATGTCCAAAAAATAGGGTATTACCATGGTACGTCTAAAAACAAACCAAAGTATTATCATGGTACATGTTCAAAAAATATAATATTACCATGGTACATGAACAAAAGCATGGCATTACCATTCAAGATTCAAGATTTTTATTTGTCACATACATGGTTATATTACATAGCAGCAATAGAGGTAAAAACGTAAATAAATAAATTATTACATAAATTGCTGTGTGCAAGTGGCAATGTCAGTATATTAAGTGTCTTACTGATAATTAAGTGAAGTCATGTTGGTGTTACCATGGTACATGTGGCATCTGTGGCATCTGATGGGACATGTTACCATGGTACATGTCCCACCAATACAGTATTGAACGGTATTGCATACCATGGTTATTACCAGAATAAATGTCCAAAAAACATGCATATGTCCAAAAATCACAGTATTAGTATGGTACATGCTCAAAAATATGCAATTCCTTAGTTTATGTTAATATATATATATATATATATATATATATATATATATATGTGTGTGTGTGTGTGTGTGTGTGTGTGTGTATGGTATTACCATGGTACATGTTTAAAAAAAACAAAACAAGGTTTTATCATGGTGCATTTCCAAAAAATATAATATTACCATAGTACATGTACAACAGCATGGCTTTGCCATGGTACATGTCCCAAAAATATGGTATTACCAGATCCTTAAACCAGGCGCTATTTGCGCTGCTCTTGGTAGATTACGCTGGTCATTATAGAAATGATCTGGCTGTGTCTGTGTTCTTTAATGTGCGCATTGTTAGTAAATCACCCGCAGAATTTCCCCCTCCCATCGCATCTGATGGGACATGTTACCATGGTACATGTCCCACCAATACAGTATTGAACGGTATTGCATACCATGGTTATTACCAGAATAAATGTCCAAAAAACATGCATATGTCCAAAAATCACAGTATTAGTAGCGCTCTAACGCTAATTTGCCCTGTTTAGTAAATCTGGCCCTAAATGTCCAAAAAACAAAGTATTGGTATGGTACAAGCCCAAAAATAGACAATTTCCTTAGTTTATGTTAAAAAAAATGGCATTACCATGGTACGTCCAAAAAAAAAAAAAGAGTGTGATCATGGAACATGTCCAAATGCACGGGATTACCATGGTACATATGCAAAATATGGTATTTCCATGGTACATGTCTAAAAACAAGGTTTTATTATGGTACATGTACAAAAACATGGCATGACCATGGTGCATGTCCAAAAATAGGGTATTACATCTAGAAAAACCCAAAGTATTATCATGGTACATGTTCATAATATTACCATGATACGTGTACAAAAGCATGATATTATCATGGTACATATCCCGACAATATGGTATTACCAGAGTAAATGTCCAAAAAAATGGTATATGTCCAAAAAAAAAAACAGTATTAATATGGTACATGCTCAAAAATATACAATTTCCTTAGTTTATGTTCAAAAAATAGTACATGCCCCCCCAAAAAAACTAAGTATGATCATGGTACATGTCCAAACAGGTTTAATCAGTTAAAGTGTTGTTAAAAGGTTGGTCTCAGCAGTGCATGTGGGGCAACGTGCCTCTGTCAGCACACTACACTACCGCAGGTAAACCAGCGAGTCAACATCAGTCCAGTGCTAGTGCAGCACAAAGAGCAGACTCATTAACACATGGCTAGTTAACATCCCTGCGGGGGAAAGAGCAGAGAGAGAATGCGGGACGTGTCTGGACACTTTCCCTCACGGAGGGCTGCGCTCGAGTTCATTTAGATCCAGAGCTGGCTATGATCAGGTTATTTAATGTAAAATAGTTTAGAGCAGGGGTTTCCAAACGATCAGATGCCACAGATGCCAAATATGATCATCCTCATGCGAGGGACCCCCCATCCAAACATTTAAAAAGCAATTATATATTTTCATATATAAAGACCCAATTAACACTGTGAGAAGTTTATATTATAAATATGTGTAAAATGTAATTTGTAAAATATTTAAAGGGGTCCTATTATGCTTTTTCACTTTTTCAACTTTAGTTAGTCTGTAATGTTGCTGTTTGAGCATAAAAAAGAACTGCAAAGTTACCAAGCTCAAACTTCAAAAGGAGATGTTTTATTTAACAGAAATCACTTTTCAAAAACTACAACGAACGACTCGTTTGGATATCACAAATATCGACGAATGGGACGAGACCTGGTTGAGCTGCACTAGAGAAGGCAACGAGTGTTATCACTATGACGGAGACACGCTAGCTTTCCCAAGGCAGACGAACTTAGAGTGGTTACAATCATCCGGGTTTAAATCACGCTCAAATTGATTTGATTTTGATGCTATATTTACACTGAAGCTCGCAGGCGGCTAAGGTAAGAGGCATGACATTTCCCGACCAGGCGCTGAGTGCTGCCAATCACAGCACACACTGGCCCAGCTAACCAATCACAGCACACACTGGCCCAGCTAACCAATCACAGCACACACTGGCCCAGCTAACCAATCACAGCACACACTGGCCCAGCTAACCAATCACAGCACACACTGGCCCAGCTAACCAATCACAGCACACACTGGCCCAGCTAACCAATCACAGCACACACTGGCCCAGCTATAATGTAAAATATGTGAAAAATAATGTGTTTTTCGAACAACCTAGTATGAGAGCCTGTTCTAGTACACCTCCAAAACAAAATCAAGACTTTGTTAAAAGAGCATAATAGGACCCCTTTAAATTCTGTCATTAGATCAAGTTATTGTTAGATGGATTATTTATTTAAATCAAATTTTAATTTATTTTAGTACATATATTTATTTTAATACATTTATTATTTATTTGCGTTCATTCACTTATGAAATGTGTTAATTTATTATATATCATTTTTCTTTTTAATCAAATTTTTTAGTTTGATCTTGTTTTTCTGTGGTTACATTACAACAGGAATGTTTTTTTTGTACTCACTGTATTGTTGGCTATTGCTACAAATATACCCCAGCGACTTAAGACTGGATTTTTGCTCCACGGTCACAATTGTACTGTTAATGTATTATTTATTTTAAACAATTTATTTATTATAATCAGTTTATCAATGTATCATTCATTTAAATCAATTTTTTATTTATTTACATATTTTTATTAGTCAATTATTTTTAATTACACTTACTAATTAATTTATTTAAATTAGTTTATTTAGTTTTTTTTATCAAATATATCAATTTAATTCTTAATTTGTTTTAGTCCATTTTTATTTATTTTGATCTTATTTTAAAGGTGACATCATGAAAATCTGAGTTTTTCAGGTTTTAAGAGCTATAATCAGGTCCCTGGTGCATCTACCAACCAAGGAAATGTGAAAAAGATTAACTCAGTAACTTTGTTTTGGGAAACCTAAAGTTTGAGCAAAACATACTAACTGTTCTGTCTTTGGCTGCACAGACGAGCACAGAATACTATTTAGATCTAAAAGCATGCGATTTATTTCCCAGCTGTTTACCTTCACAGACATAACTGACTGTTTTTGTAACTCGTGTGTTTTAAACGTAAACTTATGTGTGAATGAGAACTTAGTTTAATACTCACATGCTGTGACAGCCGCTTTCTGTCCGTGTGCTTCGGATGTGTGCTCTCAGAAAACTGTATATCAGAAGTTTAAATATGGTTTAAGACGCATGATTGCAGCGCGATAAACATGATAATCAGAACCATAACAGATGTTTTTTAGCTGGTCCGAGCTGTAATGGCGCAGCAATATTCTGGAAAAGGGGGCGGGGAGCAGCAGCTCATTTGCATTTAAAGACACAGGCCCGAAAAACAGCTTGTTTCTGCTTCCACTCAAAATAGGCATTTTCAAAATGATATAATAAATGATCTGTGGAGTATTTTGAGCTGAAACTTCACAGACACAGTTTGGGGACACCAGAGACTTATATTACATATTGTAAAAAGGGGCATAATATGTCTCCTTTAATGTAATCAAATGTATTTATTTATATAGTTATTATTTTCATCTTATTTTATTTTTTTAAACATTGTTTTTCTCTAAACATTTCCATATAGCCCCCTAGCACTCCCTTGCGGCCCCCAGTTTGTAAACCCTTGGTTTAGAGGATCCAACTGGGCAGCGAAAGTTGAGGATTTGATAAGGATCGCCACAGATACTGAATGTGTTTAGCGTTTGCCAGGTGTTTGTGAAACTGACCCATTGATCCAGCAATTGGCCTTATGAAAGCGTTACCAGTTCAGAAGGTGAAAGGTCACAGCTGTTGTTTGATCAACCCGTAGCGTGTGTCCATACAGAGACGTTTGGGGCTTTGGAAACATTTCTTACGTTTGCTGAAGTCTGCAGCTTCTCAGATGTTGAAACAGACCTCAGTAATCTCACACATTTCTCCCCTAGAGTTTCAAACTGTGCTCAGATTGTCCTTCAGGAGAAACTGTATGATTTATGTCTTTATCCTCCTCCAGGTGCATTTTTCATCCCCTACCTGATCTTCCTCTTCACCTGCGGTATTCCCGTGTTTTTCCTGGAGATTTCTCTGGGTCAGTACACCAGCGAGGGAGGAATCACATGCTGGAGGAAGATCAGCCCGCTGTTTGAAGGTGAAGCAACAAGATGTTGGTTCCTTAGATCTTTAAATGTGTAGCATGAGCAACTGCAAACCATTTCAGTATGACATGAGCAGTTTGTTTGTTATATAAATGCACAGGAACCGTCTGTAGAGTAGAGAGGGTACAAAAATGATTTGTTCTTTAAAACAATAAAGGCATAAATCCCTCTTTTTTACTGCTAGATACACTGATTTTTCGAAGCTGTAAATAAAACAAAGATTGGTACATTTTACAAGAAAATACAATTTCAGTTTTTCTACTTCAAAATTGTGTGTTTAATTCAGTGTTGCTATTATTATTTGTGAAATAATAACAGAAATTGTGATTTTTGACCTGTTCGTGTCTTTTCAATAAAAATCGTACAACAGTATTGTTTTGACATAATGTTTAATTAATATATATTTAATTTATTTATAAAATAATCTGGATACCCCAAAATGTTATATTTGGCGAAATCAGTGTTATTTTAATATTGTTTATATACTGTTATAGTATTTATGAATATTTTGAAATTGCTTTCATTTTTATATTTTCAATTTTCAATCAAATTTTCGTTATGTGCTTTTGTCATTTTTATTAGGTGGACACTTTGTAATATTTCTATATAGCTTTAATTTATTTGTATTCATTTTTATTTATTTTTTGGTACTTGTGATACTTAAACTTATTGATTTTGGTTAGTTGCCAAGGCAACATGTCTAATTTTCATTTTTTTTTTAAGTTGTAAGATTAGTTAAACATTTTTAGTTAAAACGTTACAATTTTTGTTCTAACATTTGTTATGGTATTTTAGTTTTACCGAATTTCCATTTTTTATTTAATTTAATTTTTTTAGTTTACAAGAACAACAGATTTCTGTTCTATTTATAAATGAATGAATGAATGGATACATAAAATTGTGGTAATCATGAAGTGACATCATTTGGACCTTTTCTACAGCCTGATGTGAAATATAGGATGTCATTTCATTTCCTCAGTTTTGACACAAACTGTGTTGTTATTGGGTCTGTCTTTAACTGCAGGTATCGGTTACGCCACTCAGGTCATCGTGGCTCTGCTCAACTTCTACTATATAATAGTTTTGGCCTGGGGAATATTTTACCTGTCCTTCTCCTTCTCCTGGAACCTGCCGTGGGCCTCCTGCAACAACACCTGGAACACAGGTGAGGTTAACGTCAATTCAGTCCACAAACCTGTAGCTTTATGTGGTTAGTTTAAACATCTCTTCTGCATTATCATTGGTGCATGAGGCTCAATAGTTTTGACTGTATATATAATCCAGAGATTCCTGTTGTTTTTCAGATGCCTGCGTGGAATTCCAAAGACGAAATGAATCCATTGACCAAAGTTACCTTGAAAACGCAACATCGCCCGTAATTGAGTTTTGGGAGTAAGTTTCACTCTATCTTCCTGTCAGTTTTCTGCATTTTTGTTGCTCGAAATAAACCTACAAGCTTCTTTAACTTTTAGTTGAAGATAAATCAAGCGTAAACCTCAATTGAAAAGCAACATATCTGACCTCTCAAAGATAAAACCCTATGTTTATGCCACATTATCCTGAAAGGCTTCCAACTAACCAAGTGCACGTGGTTTGAAGAAGGCTGCAGCTGATGTGTCATTTCTGTCTCTCTGTAGACGCAGAGTTTTGCGGATCTCGTCTGGGATTGAGGAGATAGGAACGCTGCACTGGGATCTGGTCCTCTGTCTGTTGTTGGCCTGGGTTCTCTGCTATTTCTGCATCTGGAAAGGCGTCAAATCCACCGGCAAGGTACGTGAGTTAAGACCTGTTGATTTCGTTCTAGTTTTAGTTCATTCGAATTTTTCAGCAGATTCAAGTAACGCTTTCAAAAAGTGTTTCAAAAAAATGCACCATGTAAATTTGCATTTAGTAGTGATCATGCAAATGCTATAATTAATATAAATGAACAAATATTTTAATTAATTAGAATTATTTTATAATATTATAATTTTCACATTTGTGACCCTGGACCACAAAACCAGTCATAAGGGTCATTTTTTTTTAAATTGAGAATTATACACCATCTGAAAACTGAATAAATAAGCTTTCCATTGATGTATGGTTTGTTAGGATCGGACAATATTTGGCTGAGATACAACTATTTGAAAATCTGGAATCTGAGGGTGCAAAAAAAATCTAAATATTGAGAAAATCATCTTTAAAGTTGTCCGAATTAAGTTCTTAGCAATGCATATTACTAATCAAAAATTAAGTTTTGATATATTTACAGTAGGAACATGGGACATGATCTTTACTTAATATCCTAATGATTTTTGGCGATAATTCGATCATTTTGACCCATACAATGTATTGTTGGCTATTGCTACAAATATAACCGTGCTACTTATGACTGCTTTTGTGCTCCAGGGTCACATTTTTCAAATATGTTTAAATCATTTTTGTCTTTTTATATTTTATTATTTCATATATTTTTTTATATTTTTGGATAGATATTGTGTACATTTTTTGTGTTTGTCTTTACTCTTATTAAACAGAGTTGTTTAAAATAAATTTGTTTAAATTATTTTAAATATGATTTTTAAAAAATATAGATATTGTGTTAAATTTTGTGTACATTTTATTTGCTGTCATGATAAATATCCAAACAAATGTTATCCTTTAGCTTCACGCTGTTTTCCTGTCACTCAACAGGTGGTGTACGTCACTGCGACCTTCCCGTATGTGATGCTGTTGATTTTACTGATCAGAGGGGTCACGCTGCCGGGAGCGTCCCGTGGGATCCAGTTCTATCTTTATCCCGACTTGGGACGGTTAGCGGACCCGCAGGTATCATAATTAGCTTTTCATCTACATTTACATTTACATTTAGTCATTTTGCAGACGCTTTTATCCAAAGCGACTTACAATTGGGGAATGCATAAAGCGATTCTTCTTAAAGAGGCAAACAGATACAGGAAGTGCTTGTAAAACCAAGTTTTAGGCATTGTTCAAATAAGTACAAGCTAGAAAGGGAAGGAATAAATAAAGAGAAAGAGTTTTCAAGTAGCTTGTTTTCAGTCAAGTAGCGTCGAAAGAGATGAGTTTTCAGCTGTCGCTTGAAAATTGTAAGGGATTCAGCATTCCGGATAGGCATCTACTGCAGTTCTGACTTGAAAATTATTCTTGTCATGACTAGAAAGGGACATTCTGAACTAGCAAAAATGGGCAAAAATCTGATTGGTTTTAGTCTAGGATTTTGTTTCGGTAATTCTTCTGGACACTAGCGAACTGTTTTCTCTTAAAAACGCCGTGTCTCGAGTCGAAAGGTCACGTGATTTGTCTACCCAGGTGCTTTAGTCAAGGCCCGGAGCAGGATGCCCAGCAGGGAAACATTGTTTTCTGTACTTCTTTGATAGTGTCCATCTGTGCGTTTGACCTTTGATCCAACTTTCACATCTGTGTCACTAGAAGAGCCCACAAACCCACGTGATATCTGAGAACAGGCCACGGCACGGCCACCCAGATGCATCCCAGCATTCCTTAACATCAGAACAGCTTAAAACCTCTTCTGGTAAATCTCTATCTAGCGACAAAAGCATTTTTGGTTGGATTTGAGAGAGAACATTAGTTGTGTTGACGTTATTTCATCTTAGCAGTATAAAAATTAGGCCAATTCAATAAAATCTTAGGGTTTAGGCAAACAGTTAGACGAAATTTGGTATTTTTGGTTTGATTTGAGAAATGGCATTGGTTGTGTTGATGTTGTTTCACCTTAGAAGTATTAAAATGAGGCCAGTTCAACTAAATCTTATGGATTTACATGAGAAGCTGGACCAAGTTTGGTGTTTTTGGTTGTTTTTGAGAGATGACTGATTTTATTCACATTATTTTATCTTAGAAGTATAAAAATGAGGCCAATTCAACAAAACCGTAAGGATTTACATAAACAGGTAGACACAGTTTGGCATTTTTGGTTGGATTTGACAGATGGCATTGGTTGGGTTGATGTTGATTTATCTTTTGAGTATAAAAATGAGGCCAATTCAACAAAATCATATGGGTTTTGCAAACAGCCAGGCCAAGTTTGGCAATTAAGATTGGATTTAATAGAAATCATTGGCTATGTTGACTTTTTCATCTTAGAAGATGCAACAAAATCTTATGGGTTTAAGCAAACAAGTATACACCTTTGGCATTTTTGGTTGTATTTCAGAGATAACATTGGCTGTGTTGACGTTTCATCTTAGAAGTATATAAATAAGGCCAATTCAACAAAATATAATGGGTTTACGTGAACAGCTAGACAAAGTTTGGCACTTTTTGTTATATTTAAGAAATGGCATTGGTTGTCTTGATGTTGTTTCATCCTTGAAGTTTCAAAATGAGGCCAATCAAACAAAATCTTAAGGGTTTACATGAACAGGTAAACAAATTTAGGCATTTTTGGTTGAATTTGAGCAATAGCGATTGCTGTTTTTTCATCTCTTGATCTTAGATGTAAAAACAAAGCCAAAATCATCAGATAACAAGGTAAACAGTTTGACAAGATTGGTCAAATGAGTGATCGAAGACAGTTTCTATAAAAAGCAACATAAATTGACATTCATAACCCATTTGAATTCTTTAAAGGTTGGATTTGTGAGATAATGGCTGCTGTTTTGACATCTCTTGGTCTTAAATGTATACAAATGAGGCCAAAATAAATGAAAATTTAGTTAGAAAAGCAAAGAGTTGGCCAAGGTTAACTGGTGATCTAAGACTTCCAAAACTTGAGTATCATAGGTCAAACTGTTAAGTGGTGTTCATAAGCCATTTTAATTCTGTAAAGTGTTGTAGGGTATTCAACAATATTTCATGTTAACTTCAACCTCAAAGAAAGAAGCATAAGTCGTCTCTTTTTGGTCAATATGGACATTTTGGTTGGATGTGAGAGATAACCATTGCTGTGTTGAGGTCATTTAATCTCAGAAGTATAAAATGAGGCCAATTCAACAGAATATTGTAGGTTTATGTGAACAGCCATATAAAGTTTGTGAAATCAAATTGATCTAAGGCTCCAAAAACCTGAGCATCATGGGCCAGATTCTTTAAAATCAATGTGAATCAACATTCATAACTCATTTTAATTTGGTCTTTGATGTGTAAAAATGAGGCCACATTTCATGAACCCTTCAGCAAGAAAAGTAAATGGTCGGTCAAAGTTAGTGAAATCAGTGAACTAAGGTTTGAAAATTTGAAGCATCATGGGTCAAATCTCATGTCTTGTTAGGACATCAGTGGTGTTTTTAGCACAGTTCTAGACCTCAGGTGATAAATGTGAGGTTTTAAGGGAAGTGTGAGGAATTTTCCCAATGGAAAAACACAGTTTCTTCTTCACGTAATCCTGGCTACAGAAATGAAGCGATCGAACACATGATTTTCACTTGAAGGACCAAAGCATTATCTAGAGACCAATCACTCTTTTGAGCAATAAGCAGTAGTTTTTATAGGACAGAGGTCCTGTACAGCATGGGTGTGTCACGTTTTAGCATTTTGTGTCATAAACGCTTTAATACGTCCACATCGCCCGTGGCAGCACATGAACGACCTGACTTACGAAAGAGCATTTGATTGACAGGCTAATAGGAACACTACTGTCAGCATGTTTTTTTCCCAGATCGTGTCTAAACCCGTTTCAGGCATTTAAGTCTAATAAACAAGAGGTTACACAAGCTCTAGGAATCCTACGACAGCTCTAGTCTTTCATCTTGTCCATTCAAGCTTATTACCTGAAGCCAAATGAGTTTGTTAAAGCTGTTAAATACGTCACAGGTAACTCAAGTCACTCAACATTTGACATGCTCTGTTGTTGCGTACATTGTGTTTGTGATCTTTGATGTCATGGAGGTTAAATGATCATAAAGGAAACATTCAGAATTCTAGTTCCTTAATGGCTCCATTAATGAATCTTTTAGTGCTTTTAAGGAATAAATATTTGAAAAAAAAAACAAATGCACTTCCACTGGCAAATAGTAAAATTATTTTTTTATAATTATCTCTTATTTTTCTTATTTACTACAATAATGAGTCAATATAAACAGTTTTTGAGTCTTTTTAGAGGCGGCATAAATGCAATCCAATAATTGTCCTTAAGTATATATTAAGCAGCTAAATAAAAACATGCATTCATTCATATTTATAAGATACACAGAAAAAAAAAACGTGTGAATCTTTGACTGTAAGTAACAATGGTTCACTAACTACACTGATTTAAATCTCTGATTTAAACTGTGTTTGATTCACTAAAAAGATTTGACTCTTTATAATCATTTGGTTCAATATCTTTTTTTTTTCTTTCTTTTTTTTTAAAGAACCGGTTCTGAATAAGAGCCAATATATATAGGGATATATATATATAGCTTTTTTGTAACCAAACAAATATTATTGGAATACATATTATTTTTGTCTTTCTACTTCAAAATGTCATGTTTTATTCAATGTGTTACTTGCCGTTTCTTTGTAATTGTTTGTGAAATTTTATAGCAATGTTTCTACACCACTTTGTTTTTCAGTGTAGTAAACCATAAAATTTTCCAGTCGGGTATTTTTAGATAATTGACCTTTAGCTGACAAACACACTGAAATCTCTGTCCCAGTGCACACATTTGTCTGGGGTCAAGTTTGTTTGTAAATGACCCTTTTTTTCTTTTAATATGTCAAGGTCTGTTTAGTCAGTTTTTTTCTCTAAATGTCAGAGGGTTCATTTTTCAGACAGTGCACTTGTTTTTTTGGGCTCCATATGATGCATATTTACCTTCAACCAAACACATAACATATTAAAGAGAATCTGTAAAAAATTAGGGCACACATTTTCTAGTTTCTTTTGTGTTTTACTGCATGGCCTCTTTCAGGTCCTGGTTTGGCGTTCATTGCCTATCCGCGGGCAGTGTCCATGATGCCCATCTCTCCGCTCTGGGCCTGTTTCTTTTTCATCATGATTGTACTGCTGGGGTTGGACAGTCAGGTATGAATCTTCACTGTTTCTTGTGCTTCATAGTTCATTTACAGGGCCCTATGATTTCCATGATATTTTTTTTACTGTATAACATTGAATGTCACAGAATTGTGCAAAGACATTATGAGAAATATACTTCTCAATGTACTAATGGTAATAATAAAGAACTATTAAGCAAAATCACATTTATTCTTCACTGTTTTAATTTCAACAATAAACCTCAGGTTTGCAACACTCTGTTTAGCGAAAATAAAATGAATTATTATATATAAATGTATATTTAATTACATTTAAAAAAATTAAATTGGTGATATGTTATGCCTTCATTTCATTACAAATATAATAATTTATAAATTAATTTGATAACAAGTTTTTATTAAATCATAAATCCAGAAAAATGTTAACAGACAATCAATTTCTGAAAGAAATGTAATTAAAATATTAGTGTTAACGTATTCAATTGATTAGACATGCTTTTTTATTACTAAAATTGAATGAAACCATTCAAACGGAATGAGGAAAACTTCAAATGGAAATCACAGAATTAGGGGAAAAATAAAACTGAATTTGGGGGAAAAACAGATTTAATAGAGCTCTAAAAATGTAATTTCTGTTAAACTTTTAATAAATTGTTGTTAAAATTTTTACAGGTTTTATGACTTTTTTATTGCTAAAATTACATTTAACATTTAAAACGAAATCCTAAACAATTAAAATGCAAGAAAGAAAGAAAAAAACGGAAACAAAATAAAATGCAATTTTGGGACAAAATAAAACGGAATACATAGGGCCCTACATTTCAACGTTTTATTCTGTGCATAATCCTGAATCATGATTTGAAAATGTTTGCATACAGTGTAATATTAAGCCCCAAACTGACAAATAATTACTCAAGTGGCTAGTAAAAATCAATAAGCCACAAGAAACACAGATTTGTTCATCTGCTCTAGTTCGTGTGTGTGGAGAGTCTGGTCACAGCTATGGTGGACATGTACCCGACTTTCTTCCGGCAGAAGAACCGCAGAGAGCTGCTCATCCTCGCCGTGGCCATCGTGTCCTTCCTCGTGGGTCTCATTATGCTCACAGAGGTACTGGACCAACTCATCTGACTCTGATCATTTTATCAATTGATTTATATAATTGGCAGATTTATAAATTGTCTCTGTCTGTCTGTCAGGGTGGAATGTATGTCTTCCAGCTGTTTGATTACTACGCAGCCAGTGGGATGTGTTTGCTATTCGTAGCTGTTTTTGAGACCGTCTGCATCGCTTGGATATACGGTGAGACTCCTGTTATATTGCCATGCTGTTTAGAGCCTGTGCATTTGGTGCAGGAAGCAAGAAAATGCCAGTTTTAAAATATTACTTCAATTAAATTACATAAATGCTAAAATATTTAATTTGCAAGGCAGCTAATTAGGTTTTGAAACAGTACTAATCTGTTATCTGGCACATTTTTTTTGGTAATTTCCTTGCTTTTCTTTGTTGCTTCTCAGGTGCTAATCGGTTTTATGACAATATTGAGGACATGATTGGTTACCGTCCTGGGCCGTATATTAAATACTGCTGGCTCTTCTTCACCCCAGCCACATGTTTTGTGAGTCATTTACCTTCTACACCTTATTTACCTTCAAAAATAAGAGAGTAAACTTAAAGGTTTTTTGTAACCTTAAATAACTTTTCCAAGTAATTTTTTAAACCTCTTTAGATTACTTTGTTTTAAGCCTCCTATAATTTTGTTCAAATTTTGATTCTAATATATTTTATAAAATTTATATATATATATATATATATATAAAATTATAACAAATTAAGTTAAACTCAAGGGTGGTTAATCAGTCAAGTAATTTAATGCATTTTAAGGCTCTAAATGACTAAATTAAAGACTTAAAGATTAAAATCAAATTTTCAAATAATTTTTAAATGTCACAGAACTTAGAGCAACTTTTGTGAGGTTAATTTAAAGATGCATTAAGTACCAAGTTCTTGGGCTTTATAGTGACATCTACTGGTGTGGATGCATCACGATGCAACAGCAGAAGACTTTGGTTGCTGATGCATTTGTAGAAACTCTCCCTTTCTAAAGATTTGAATTCACTTTAGTTTTACGATCAACCGCTCTAATCTTATTTCCTCCGCTGCTTGTCTTAACAGGGTACGTTTGCGTTCTCCCTGATCAAATACACTCCTCTGAAGTATAATAACGAGTATGTGTACCCGTGGTGGGGTTACGCTCTCGGCTGGCTGCTGGCGCTCTCCTCTATGATTTGCATCCCGCTGTGGGTTGTTTCTAAACTGAGCACGGCCAAAGGTTCACTGAGAGAGGTGAGTCTGATGTAACAGAAGAAATAGCATGCTGAAATACTGCTCTTATCATTTCTGCAGTATTTAGCTTGTATAACATGTGCAGTATGCATATCCTTCTTGATTTACAATTTGATTACACTGGCAAAAGTTACACAAAATTATATTAAAAATACAAATATATATATATATATATATTTTTTTTTTTATTATTTGTATGGGTTGTGTACTACTGTACATATTTTAACAAATGCATTGAGAAAAAAATGCATACTATGCAAAAATATGCTAACTATTATCATTGGCTAAGTAGTATGTTATTCCAAACCTCTCCGCTTTTTCTCCTCAGCGTTTCCATGAGCTCATCACGCCCTCACCGGACCTCCCCAAAACCAGACGAGAGCAGGAGAAACTTCAGGCCATCTTTGCAGCCGACGGCGACACTCTTCGCCAGCGAGGCGGTCCGACCAAAGACGGGTACTTCCCTGTCAGCGAGAAGGAGTCGCACTGTTAGCCCAGCCGTCCCATGATGGACCACTGTATGTTTCCCCGAGGGTGGTGCTTCTAAACCTTCCCATGATACCTCACACAGTACTGGCAGCCAAATAAGCATTACGACAGACACGCCAGGGTGACGCTCCAGCTCTCCTCGGTCTGAGAGGGGATTCTCTCTGTTCTCATTGACCAGAGCACACAAAAACACAGTTTGTGTCAATATTATAGACAGCAGAATGTCACAATGTAATTTTAAACGTGATATTGGAGAGAAAGCTTAGGGTTAGCAAGCGTTACTTCTAATTTATGTCTTAACTAAGCCACAAAAGTGTCCCATGCATGGTCAGATTTAATTGGATACGCATTATAGGCAAGACTCTAAGGCAAAAACATTTTTCATGCACTGGTCAATATTGAGATTTTTGGCTATCTTGCTTTCTATAATATGTTTCTGATTAATGAAAAGAAAGCATCTAAAATACACTTTGAAGTTTTTATTACACTTTATCTATTTGCATCTGAGGATTTAAATTACAATACATATTTTTTTTGAGGCCATTTTCTCGAAATGAGATTTTTCTCCACTTACAGTAAGTAGTACGTACTTACACCAAACTTAAAAGTTTTATTCATATTTATATTCTGAAGGTTTTTATAGAGGGGTTTGTTCATATGTCATTTGGTTGATTTTATACAACATTTTATTCCTAAAAACATGGTGAAATTATTATTTTTTTCTGTCTGTTGACAGTTTTTTCTGCTTTATGGAGTGATAAAAAGAGAAGGAAAACATCCCCTCTGTAATATCTGGACCTGACTGTATGTATTTGATTCACCTGGGGTGTCTGGCCTTAAATGAAATATGGTCTGATTTGCGTGAGTATTTTTGCTTTCAGTGTGGATTTTGTGTTATCTTGTGCTTCTATGATATAAAATTCTGCTCTCAGTAATATTGACACAAAAGTTGAACTTCTACGATCTAAACCTGGCCAAATATGAGCGTTACCTAGGGCTGCACGATAAATCGAAATGGAATCGAGATCGGTTCACTGAGAAGCTATGCAAACAGCTGTCATTATCGCGAGCGATTTTTTCGATTTCAGAATCGCGCAATAAAATCGTCTGCGATTTTTTTGCGTAACTTGTCAGTGAACTACGGCTATGTGTAGTAAACTCTGCTCCATCTGAAACCACGTGATGATGATTTACTGCTGATTACAGAACCAGCTTTACTAACAAAATGCGCATGACAATCGCATTCGATTAATCGTGCAGCCCTAGCGTTACCAGTAGATTCAGAAAGGTTGAAGTGAAACAGGAAGATTCTCTGTAATACACCCAAAGCCTCTTGGATCTTAAAATGATGGAGAGAAGGGTTGGATCTGCATAAGCTTATTTTTTCATCATTTATTCACCCTCATGTCATTCCAAACCTGTATTTCTTTAGCTTTATTTCTTCAGTGGAACATAAAAATACCCCTGGTCAGTGTTTTTATTGTGAGCAAAAGTGCAGTTTGGAGGTCTTATTTTATCTTAGTTTCAGGCTGTTAGCATGTCTTGAACATTGGGTTGAACTTTTTTTTGTTTGTTTGTTTTGTTTTGTTTTTAATTGGAGAGATGCTGTTACAAATTATTTAAAGGGATTACAGATTTGAAGGGAATAACGAAAAATAAAGATAGTAGTAAAAGAACAAACCTATTGTAAGTAATCATTTGAACTATTTCCAAATAATTACCATATTTGTATGTTAAAACATACACATTTACTCTTAATCGTATGCCTAATATGACTACGGTAAATGGCTTTGTTAAAGTTTCCTGTCTCTCACATTCAATTACGAAGTATTACATGAATTACCTAACTTGCATAGGCTTTTTTCAATTCAGAATGGCCGAATTTGACAAGAAACTAGAATATTGTGCATGATCGCTGGATATTACTTACATTTCTATCATTAAACAGTTGTCACATATTAAAGGGATAGTTCACCCAAAAATGAAAATGTGATGTTTATCTGCTTACCCCCAGGGCATCCAAGATGTAGGTGACTTTGTTTCTTCAGTAGAACACAAATGATGATTTTTAACTCCAGCCGTTGCAGTCTATCAGTCGTATAATGCATGGCAATGGTAACAAAATCTATGAGAGTAAAAAAAACATGCACAGACAAATCCAAATTAAACCCTACGGATCGTGACGACACATTGATGTCCTAAGACACGAAACGATCGGTTTGTGCCAGAAACCGAACAGTATTTATATCATTTTTTACCTCTAATACACCAATATGTTCAACTGCCTTGAGCGCGCGCACGGCATCCGGTGCGTGAGGTGTGTATGCGCTCTGGCGTAGTTTACGAGTTTACGCAAGCGCCGGAAGTGATCTCCCGCGCGTATACTTCACTCATTGTTTACACAGTGCAGTCATTGTAGGTACGACGGCTAATCAAAATGGTACTTACTTGCGCTTATCCGGATTGTTCAAACCGACTTAAAACTAAAAGATTACGTTCTCTCGCGCGAACTCATTCGGGAGTGGTGACTTTCCACGTATTCCCAACTTCTGAGCCTGCTCGCCTGAAGGTGTCTGGCCATAACTATAATTATTTAATTTCATTTACATTTTTGTTTTGGGCTCTGATTCCATAAAAAAAAAAAAAAAAAAAACTCAAACCAGTTTGGAATGATATGAGTCATCAAATAATAATTAACCAACATTTTTTTTTAAGATGAACTATTTTTCCCGTCAAACCCTTTGCCCAGCAGGTGGTAGAGTAGAACACCATCAAAGTGGATGTTGGAAATAAACCGGAGTGTCTTTTAGGACTGTTTCAGTTCAAACAATCAATGCATCTGCTTTCTAAGGAAGCAAATTAGTGTTTTTTTTAAGTAGGCTATCCATGTGGATGTGCATCATAAATACAGCAAAGCCTGGGGTTTTATACTATCTTGCGTGAGTTATAAATGCCTATGAAGGTTTAGACTATAGCCTACAGATCTGATAGTATTACATGCAGGAGTACAATGGTACTGTTTTGAGGTGATGTGAAACAATTTACAGTGTTACACAGGGTCATTCATCATTTTTGTGCACTTGTTTAAGAATATTTTAGGATATAAACCATTGTATCTCATGATTTTGTATTTTTATTGTGGAACTTTATTAAAGCGGCGTACGATTGTCTTGTAGAATCTACTGTTTAACAAATGTGATAAATGTATGAAATTTTAACATCTGCACATATCAATCAGATTGCATATTGAGGACCAATCAGATGTATTTCTTTTTCCTTGTTTTCACTGGTTCATGTTTTCGTGATGTATATGAAGTGTTGGAAGTGTCCTGTGAAAGCAGACCACCAGCAGTCTTTGTGTATACAACCTGTACAGAACGGTTTGGGTTCTACAACTTTGTAAATTGAGCCAGATATACTGTATTACTCATGTACATTACATCAATAAATAGAAGCAACTATTATGCACATGTTTGAGAAATCTATTGTAATTAGAGACACACATATTCAACCTTTTTTTGCATTTGCACACAAGAAACAAAAGCTCTCTAAAGAGCCAACACAATATAGAGAGGTTAAATATGATAAAATATCAATGATAACTTAAGTAAATAATGTCATAATAATTTGCTGATGCATTAAATTAGTTGCAACAAGCATAAGTATTTTTGTTAACTTTGTTAATGCAAGATTTCGTATATTAAAGGGATAGTTCACCCAAAAATGAAAATGTGATGTTTATCTGCTTACCCCCAGGGCATCCAAGATGTAGGTGACTTTGTTTCTTCAGTAGAACACAAATGATGATTTTTAACTCCAGCCGTTGGAGTCCATCAGTCTTATAATGCATGGCAATGGTAACAAAATCTATGAGAGTAAAAAAAACATGCACAGACAAATTATAAATACTGTTCGGTTTCTCGCACAAACCGATCGTTTCGTGTCTTAGGACATCAATGTGTCGTCACGATCCGTAGGGTTTAATTTGGATTTGTCTGTGCATGTTTTTTTTACTCTCATAGATTTTGTTACCATTGCCATGCATTATACGACTGATAGACTGCAACGGCTGGAGTTAAAAATCATCATTTGTGTTCTACTGAAGAAACAAAGTCACCTACATCTTGGATGCCCTGGGGGTAAGCAGATAAACATCACATTTTTATTTTGGGGTGAACTATCCCTTTAAAGTCTTTTGAAAACTTGACATAGTACTAAACTAATAATGTAAATGTAAATGCATATCTCTGATGAGAACACTGAACTCCTAAATTACATGCTTACACATTGCTTTTTTTTTTTTTTTAAATGAAACTTTATTTACATTCGAATGAACACGAATGTATAAGACCAAAAAAAAAAAATCTCTCTAAGGAGCAAAAACATAATATATAGGTGTTAAATATGAGACAATATCTAAATAATGTAATGTACAGGTGCATGAAATTAACTGCAAAATAAGCTTAAATGGTTTTCATTAGTGTAAGATTTATTGCCTTAAAATCTTTCTGTAAATTTACTCTTCTCATGTAAGTGTTTTTGAATTAAAAGTAAATTAATAATAATGTAAAAGCAGTTCTCTGGTGAGAATATTGCAACCCTACATTACATGCATGCTTGCAAGCACATTCCTGTACATATTACTTTTTACATTGCATGTTTTTTTTATTTTTTTTTTTACATATTTATTCTTAACACACAACCCTTTCGAGGAGCAAAAACAAGAGGCTAAATATAATAAAATATCAACAACAAAGTAGGTAAATAATGTGAAATATGGCATTTACGGATATTTTAAAAGCTTTGAATGATTTATAGTTTTACTTCAGAGTTGTAGGTAAACTTAATAGCCTACATTTAAAATAGAGCCAACTTTTTTAATCGTACGGGCTTTAAAAAAAATACAGTTTAAAATCTAAATGTTTGGTTATATGAAATGTTCTAGTAGACAGAGCACATTAAATAAAGCGATGTCTCCTCTCATTGGTCACTTTTCCCAGACCCCTGGCGTCCAGCAGCCAATGAAATCGTTGCAGCGCCGCTGAGCGCCTCGCGGGGGCGCCATAGCCCCTCCCCCGCTGCGGAACCGGTCAGTGTTTACGGAAGTGACGCCTGACGTGACGTGTCATTTTCCGCACAGGCATGATCCAGGAATGAAGAAAAAATCATGAAACTCAGGCGAGAAGCGCGCTTATAGATGATATATATCATAAAGATCATCTCGACCGCAACGATCAGCATGATTATGGTCATGTGTGTGACGCTCAGCAGCGTTCGCGGCTGAACACAGACACGTTTATTGATGTGTGTGCAGCGTCGAGGGTTTGTTTATGTGTCTCGCGCTGGAACCGAAACATCCCGGTCGCTTTAATTGATTTATTAATCATTCGTTAGAGTTAAATTAGTGTGGAATGAGTGTGAAGATGTCGACCAGCAGCCCCGAAGCGGTGAAGAAACTCCTGGAGAACATGCAGGCGGACCTGCGCTCTCTGTCCATGGAGTGCAAGAAGAAATTTCCTCCAGTCAAAGAGGTACATACGCATATACATATATATGAATACATAATATATACATACAGTGCGTACATATATGTGACTCTGAAATCCAGGTTAAAGTCTCAAAATCTAATTAT